CGCGTCACATGGTGAGAGCATTCATTTTGCTACCACTACAACTACGAGTATGCGTGATCCGACTCAGTGAGGTGCCACATGACGGGTCCTATACCATGGTGTCGTAGTCAGCTTAAATGCGCCCCCCCCCACCCAGAGCGACCTAAAGCAAAGGGCGATGCAGTGTTGCGGCACAACCCGCAGTAATGACTTCCATCCGTCTTACACTACTGCTACATCGGTGTTAAGTAAAATACTGTTACGGTAGCTGTCACAAAATTCGGTGTATGCCAAAATTTTCGTATCGACGGATTTCGGATTATCTAGGATTTGCTATATTACCACAACGTGATAAATAACATTGTTTATGACTATCCATAATATTTTCAACAGTAATTTATTTATTCATCAGAGAAAGTTTCAACCTTAAACGAAAGCTTTTAAACATGTTTGACGATTGTCCATCCACATGTACGTTTTTATTGAATCTCCGTGTTGTAAAACCCTCTTCCAAGCCAAGTCACTAACACCACTTAAATCCTTTCATTCAAACAGCAGTAAATTCCAGCTTGACCTACCAAAAATGACTCGCTAACTTGAGTAAGGTTCATAACCTTTGGATTATTGGATCACAGTATTTAGCTGATGTCAGAATAAGTTGTTAGACTGTGACACGATAATGTATTTTATTATTTCGTAACAATTTGTTATATTAATTCATTAATTTACTAATTTCACTTCTTTGCTTTCCACGACGACGAAGATAATGTTTATTTGTAAAGTTCATGATTTCAGCGAATCCAGAGTGCCGTAAAACCCTTGACAGCTTGACGTGCTCGGATCACAACGACGAAGCGTACTGCAAGTTTTGCTACAAGAAGCTCTTCGGCCCAAAGGGTTACGGCTATGGTCAAGGTGCAGGAACTCTGTCGATGGAGGGCAGTGACCAGGAATGGAGGAAGTACGTTTCTTCAGTTTCAGCATATAATGAGACCTCAGTCCACCTTCTCTCGAACGGTAGCCGTTCCTCTGCTGTTAATATCGTAGGTGATGGCCAGGTTAACGGGAGTCTCATTAGCACCCGTTTTCACTAAAAGGAAATTAGCGCTCGTTTTTGTATTTTTTTTCATTCTAGGATGGGCTTAAGTTCTTTTGTTGTTACCCAATTGTACTCTATATTGTAAAGAATGCATAATGTACATTAGACAGTACGTATACGATATAATATTCTATTATAGTCAATATATGATTAGTATGCAGTATAGGTACTGTTTAGCACATAATAAAGGCTGCAGTGTTCTGTTGTCATGTGTATTATACTACATATAATAAACCGGCGTATAGCATAACCTATAGTATATGTAATTATGTTTATTATATGTGTACATATGGCATGCCATATTTACATGCTGTTTGTCATATATGTACCACTTGACGTACAGTATATATTATACTATGAAATATACGGTTTTCGTAAATGCTGTTTACAAGTTATTAAGCAGATGTGAATATAAAGTGCAGTTTGCTTAGTGTACTAGTTAACAAATATAGAATGTACGTAGTGTAGCTACGTAAATAGCACATTATACGAAATTTTCACTATATACGGCATATCGCGCAAGGCAGTATTTTACTTTACGTAGAATACTGCATTTGACAGCAGAACATTGTTATGTTTATTGTTTGCTATGCAGTACGCGTACTGTGTTGTATTACATAGTATACGCTTTATTATAACAGAAAGTAATATCGTGAATGTGACTAATACACATTATGCTTTGTACATTGTACTATTTTACTGTATTTGTTATAGAGACGCTTGCAGTCTCGCAGAATTTTTTTTTCAGATTATAAAGTAAGCATGCTATATAACGTATTATAAGAAACACTGCAGTCACATTAAGTTCACTATATGCTGTTGCGTATAAGACCTCTGGCAAAACGCGAACAATTGCCAAAATCTAGTGGAGTTGAAAGCGAAAATAGCAGTGGCTTTCACTCCCCTGCTTGAAGCTTAAGTCTGACTACGTTAGATTGCATCGCACGAGTGATTGGCTGACCGAAGATTTCAACAGTGAAGAACCGGTACCAAAGAAGCTGCACGCATCCAGTTGAAAAACCTAGGCTCAGATAAGGCAACGAACTAAAAGATGCGGAAGCTTGTGGCGACAAATCGCACTACATAGACGAACACGAACATGGAGGTTTGACAATAGTACTCCCTGTTAATTATGAAGAAAGATCAGTAATAACGTAATGAGATACATATATTATACTACGCAATATACTGTTGCGTGTACGGCACTATAAAAACAGTATTGTATATACTGCATATAGCTATATGGTAAAGCATGCACTGTATGATGTAGTATACTATTTGCATAATGTGCTTTGTTACGTACTGCTAATGTGCTATTTTTCTCTAATGCATACCATATGTACGGTAATATATTGTAAACTGTTTAGTGCTATAGTTTATAATGTGTGGCCTGTCTCGTTCATTGTACTGGACAACGTGCAGTAGAATACATTACCATATGCAGTATATACAGCATGTATGATAATACTGTATATGATTTACGCGCAACAGTTGTGACAACTGTCGGTATTAATTCCCATAATACGCATGATTAAATATTTTCGTCATGCATTTATCCCCTACGATGATAACTCTTCAGATGGTCATCAGCAGGTTAATAGTTAGATTATAGCTATGATAATGATTATGATCGGATTCCCTCTCAGATTTTCAAGTCTCTTCATAAATTTTCGAAAATTGTTTTTAAAATTCTTGCATTATTTCAGAGACGTTCCAAATTACACAAAATCTCAGGCGGCTTCAGCGTTGGATCGAAGAAGCGGCAGTTTGAGTAGTTCGAGTGGTAGTCCTAACCGCACACTGTCCCCACAGAACGACCAGCGTCCGGCTTACGGCGGAGTGGACGTATGTCCCAGATGTGGCAGGGCGGTATTTCTCGCTGAAAAGCTGATGGCTGCTGGAAAGGTATGTAGAAAGAACGGCCCATTGTTAACTGACTCATTAAAGCTACTCTCTTTCCCCTAATTAGGCCTGGCATAAACTGTGCTTTTCCTGTGCGGAGTGCAACAAGTTGTTGGAGTCCACCAATCTCTGTGAAAAGAGCGGTGATATCTATTGCAAAAGTATGGATTTTCTTTCAAAATATTAATCATATTCTGTTTATGGTTGTTTTTAATAAATATTTATTCAACTGAT